CTATAGGCATATGTCGTAGTGAACTGTGCACCGAAAATAATGTGAGGTTTAGCCAAAAATGGATACTTGTCATGCTACATGCTACAGGATGTGCGGGAGATTCATAACAGCTATCTGCAGCTTGCAGGTCGGCAGCGAGGGATAGCCTAGCGGATAGTGTTGTGGACTGGAGTTGGCACGAGTGGACTGGGTTGGTGGTTCGGATCCTCCGCGCGCGAAATTTTTGCATTTTATGCTGGCACCTCCATCTTGGCTCCAAACTGCACCAGTGCCAAAATGAGTGTCTGACTGGTCATTGTCGTGACCAGGAGCAGCAATGACCCCGTGCGCTAGGTTTTCACTGAAAACTGGCTAGAAAATTGTATCTCTAGAATGAGAATAAATGACACCAGCAACTATTCGTATTTGTGATCAGCGTGGACAACCCTCGCAGAGCAGACCACGGGATCATTTAGGATTTGCTCGATGTGTAAAATTTTCCATTTATTGCAAACAGATTATTAACACGTGTGGTACAACTCTATAAAGCAAGTGAAACATAGCTGTTTGCCGCACCAGCTGCACTTGACGAATGCCAAGGAAGAGCAGCTACCGGAAGCTCCGGGATGGTCGTCGACGGAAATACTCACGCTCGTACATGCTTGTGCGAGTGATGATGTACCGCAACCTACAGTCACATCTGAAGAATATGTGGTGTGTACCATTTCTGATCTCGACATGGCTTTCTCACCTGCTAGAGTTATTGGCCGCGTTCTATCGTCGTTCACGCCCGATTTTTCTCCTCCTACAAGAAAAGAAATCGCAATTGCCGACGCCTTCAGAGGAATACTTAAGGGCGCAGACTACGACGAGGAAGAAGAGACGCTTCAGGTTACTTTTATAGGAGTTTATGAGCAGTCGCACTGTTAACAAACAGGTCCGAGCTTCTGAAGTGCTGCAGTTTACAGGCAACTTTCGATGAAAGAGAAGACGCTTGCTGGACTCCACAAGATGATGACGATGACCGTAGCAGCGTTACTATTTCACCACGGAGGACTGTTTTCTTCGACGGCAGGCCCATTCCTCACGATGCTGTTAGTTGTAGCACTTTGTAACGAAAGCTCAAGGTGCAATCGTGTATTTCGCAGATCGAACCATTGCTCACTACCGCGAGGCTGACATGGATCAAAACTGAACGGCACATGTACTTGCTCCGTGAGACCGAAAAAAGAGGTATTCAAAAG